TAAACAAATGAGTTCAGTTCATAAGTAATTTTATTTCTGTTATGTTTTTCACTATAAATAAAATATAACATTTAGAAAAATTTTTATTAGAAAATATGTTCATAAACTGTAGGTTTATTAACAAGCACATAATGGGCATATGCTATATAGTAAAGTGTTCTGAATCTGAGAGGTATCTTCAACATTGTAAGCTACTTTTATTTTATAGTAATAAAGTAAAATTGTCTTATATTTAATTATATATCATAGAAGAAGCTTATTCAATAAAGTTCTTACTGATACAGCAACCCTATTGATTCATTTGTAAGAACTTCACATTAACCAATAATCTCCCTATGAAACTTAAAAGATCCATATATGGCATTTATTAAGTTGGAAAAAATAAAAGTAAAAGAATAGAGGAGTCTTGAAAATATTTTTGTGAGTTGAACTCATTTAAACCAGATGAAGAAAATCAAGTGTATGCCCAGGATCACTTGGGCTGAGGAGTTCAACACCAAGTTCACCCCTGGCCCACGTAGCTTTCTTCAATGCTTGGTCCTTGTAGAGACCCTGGGGAACACTGGTCACATCAAGGACATTCAGTGTCACATAGCAAACTCCTACAGCACTGAAGTGAGCTCTGGCATGAACAATGCTTTAGAAATATTGGAAACCCTCTACTACACTACCAACCTTTGGTGCAAGTCGGAAATATGAAGAAAGTCTAATGAAGATGTGAGGGCAGGAGAGTGTTCCCTATTTTCCACAGCGGTGGGACCTAAATACGCCTGGAAACCATCAGTAAGTCTGGTTAAGCATAGTCAAATAGAAACCTGAGGCATTATCAGCAAGAGAGGGAAGCATGAAGCCAAGGCTAGTGTCAGTTCTTTTGGCATTTCCCCTGCCTAAATTCTTAGTTCCTGACCCAGGGCTGGGACCAGGGTGAAGTGAGTAAGGTGCCCAGGGTCCAAGATGGAAGAAGACATGCTACGGCCTGGTAGTGAGAGCCTGCTGTTTCACTCGTCGCACCCTCGCCCAGGCCCTGCTCAACGATAGCTTTTTAAAGAATTTTATGGCAAGAAGCTCAAAATATAAAAGCACGATTGATGACAAACAAAAGAGTCTATTGTTTAGAAAGGGGGGGGATATAAAAAGTGAAGTACATAAACAAAAATGTTTAAAAGAGAGGCCAACTCCCAATTAAAGAAATATTGTCCACCCAGATATGAAAGTGTGCTAATCTAGTCAAATGAATTCTGCAACGGCTCATTTGGGATTGGAACATAATTTATTGGTTCAAAAATTTGGGTTATCCTGGATGAAAACCAGCCCTAAAACATACTTATATACAATAAAAGTCTAATATAATAGCTATTCTTGAAAGTGTTTGATAACCTAAACCTACCCCCACTTCTAACATGTACAGAGGCTCCAATATAATAACAAACTATATCCTGTGAATGTTTTTCAGCTACCACAATATAACCAAATGATTCTAATTGTAGGAATTTTTGTAGTTGCCAATTCTAATCAAATGACAATAGCTCCTTAAGACTGAGCTAAATAGATACTTCTATGTTAGAATCAGACTATAGCATCTTAGAAAATGAAAGCCTTTCGAAAGGAATAATGATTCCTGGGACTCGTTTGTACCTGAAGTGCCCAAGAGAAGGACATGTAGACTGTTAGGGTCCTGTCTTAATTGTATCACAAGTCACCATTTTTAAAAATAAGTGGATTAATCTTAGATAGAAGCAGTCCTTATTGACCCCATTTCTATTCATAGGGACTTAACCTTTTTAATTTAGTACCTTTGATTTCCAAATTCATTTGCAAATAAAAATACAACTATTTAGTCTTGATGACTTTCCAAGACGTGTGAACTCCAAATTTTTAAATTTGTAAGTTTCTTGAAGTCAAAGACTATCCACTAATTATCCATTTATTTGCAATTATTATTCTTCCTGTATACTCTCAGGGTAGAAGTTTTATGTTTATTTGTTAAATAATGAGTCAATTAATTACTGAAATAGGATATTAGGATGTACATCCTGACTTTTGGAATTGAATTCACCATAGTAGAAAAAAAGGTTGTTTGCTTCATAGTCCTTGAGTTTAATTCATTATAAGCAATATCTTCTTAGAGATAGGTTTAATATTAAGGCTAAGATGAAAAAAATTGTAATTATAAATAGTTGAGAAATTTTATCAGAGTTCTTGTCATTTTAATAATTTGTAGTCCATGAATAACATAAAGAAACTCTGCTCTAACTCTCCACTAAGACCGTCTACTAAAACGCACAGAACAGAAATTTTTTAAGTATCCAGTTTTTGCTTTTAAAGGATTTTTAAGATTTTTAAGCATAGGCCATGTATGATGGTCACTCAATTCTTTGAGTAAAGCAAAAATCATTTCCATACTACAGGTAACAAAATGTCGATTTGGAGAGAATATGTGACTTGACCAAATTCAGAACATTAATAAAAACATGAAGAGGGATTAGAATCCAGATCTTCCTGTTCCTCTCCAGTGTGTTTTCCACTTTACAGTTACAACTGGCTGAATAATGAACACTGAACATTTTCAATACTAACAGAAAAAAATTACGGTCTCCAAACTTTCATATTTTATGGTGGTTGATCAGGTATATCATTGATACCAAACTTCTTTAAAATGTAGAGCACCTTGAAAGTCCTTCCTCTTCCCTCTAAATGAAATGCAACTGTGTATATTGGTAAGATACACTCTATAAACATTAGCTACAAATAAACATGCAAGGAAGGGCCACAAGTGTGTCACTGCGGTCATCAAACCCACTATCACTGTTTGTCACCAAAGGGAGAGGAAAAGTGACCTCTAAAGACATTCAAAAGACAACCAATTTACACAACAGTACTTAGAGACTTGATCACAGTATATCACCTGCAATCTATTTACCATCTATTGTACAACCAGCTATAATACTACCAAGTTTTACCAACTACCCTTATTACCCTTCACTAACCATTATGTAAGTACATCCTAATGATTTTAACTAGTTAAAATATGATGCCCATCTAAAAAGAGTAAACTAGAATATATTTTTCTAAGAGAATTGAGTTTTAAAAGTTAAGGCAGGAAGAAAAATAGGTGGAAGACTGTTTCAAATGAAGTAAATAACACAAGTCCCCTTGGGCTGCTGTATAGGATTTTAATTCACTATTGTGAAGTTCAAGAACTTCTATTTCCTTCAAAACTCGGGCTAGAAATGACTGAGTATGAGTAATGGCTTTACCACCATGAAATGATGGCTTTTTTCTCCCGCAAATTTGTCATTCTTACCTATGAACTTTGGCAGAACCTTAAAACAGATCGGCCATCATGAGCTAGAACTACTTTCACAGTGGTCCATCCACATAATTAAACAGTTTTGCTGTGGTTGTATAGAGCACTTATTATGATCTTGGAGAACTGGCTTCTTATCTCAGTCACATCTCCAACATTTTAAATATTCATTCAATTTCTCTGTTTCTGATGCTTGATGGAGATATACCTCTTCCTACCTACCTATTTTTGTGAGAAGAAAAGGAAAGATACTTCAAAAGACACAATTTTGAAGTCTCAGAAGACGCATCTTACTCTAGGTGATATTTTCATTACAATTTATTCTCTCTGCATGAGTACTTCTAAGATAGTACTAACACTAGACTGAAACTAGATAATCACCGTCATAGTTTGTATCTTAGTAACTGTATCTTTGATGATGGTTTAGAACTTATCTCCTTCCCTCTCTCTTGTTACAATTAAACTGAATCCAAGAAAACTGTTGTCCCTGGGTTTCTTAATTTAAAATGGTAGTTTTTTTACATTTTCTCATGAGATCTTGAGTTACATCTCTCTCCCTCTCCCTCCGCCCCCTTTCCCCTTTCCTTTTACTCCTATTCTTTTCCCATCCCTATAAGTGGAGATCATAGGAATCTATAAGCATTGCTGAGCTCTGCAGATGTCACTCAGGGTTAAAACCATATTGAATTCTGACTGGAGCAACCTAAGCAGTAGAATTTGTAGAAGCATTTGGAGGATTTTTAGTCAACCCGGTGAGCATACAAAGTATAAGCAGAATGCTCAAAACTATTAGAACCTATTTTTGTATAAACAAATAGTAGTTGTTTTGGGGGTTTTCCTACTTCACTTTTTATAGCTCTTACTACTAAAGAACTACTGTGATTACTTAATTTTTATATGCACTAAAGGTGATTTTTATTGACAAATTCCCCATGGAGTAATTTCAGTCTTCTCTGGTAATAAATGTTTCCATAAAGTAAAGGAAGGAACAGAAGTTCCTACTGAAATTTTATAATACTATGGTGGGGGCAGAGGAAGAGCATTTAATGTCCCCTTCCTGGACCTGCTCCTCGGTTATAGATACACTCAGAGGGACAGAATTATCAGCTACTAATTGTCTCAGTGTCTTAACCTGCAAAATAAAAATCATAAATTTGGCCTTCTAAAAAAGGGCCAAGAGGTAAAAGGAAAAATCAATGTCTACATGACGATCTGCAAATATGACAATTATATAGATATTGATCTTTATTCTTTTCTTTCTCAAAAAATGACATTTCCAAAGAGAAAACTTTAGAGTGAGTCAATATAGAATAGGGGTTTAACACACTACCTACTATGATGTGACCCATGAACATATAAGCAACTCCACATTTCAATCCCAACTATAATTCATAGTGTCTGGGCCCAAACAGACCCTTTACAGTGTTTTGTTTTGTTTTCTAAGTCTTTTGTTTTCTAAACAGAACACTTACATTTCAGATGTTAATAGGAATTGTAACCATTCTTTCATGTTGGGTGAAAATTGCTGTATTTTTAGTCAAGTGCAGATAAAAATGAGCATCAGACAAATCAGTAGGCTCTGTAGTAAATATTAATAAATTAACATTTCAGAATGACATTCAAATCTGAATGGGCTTCGCACTAAACTCTACCCCATACAATTTTATCAGAGCAATAAATATGGGAATATTACCTTGACAGAAAGGAGCCTGATGCCAGGTCTTGAAAATTTCCATTGATGTTGTGCCGTCACATTGGTAAAGCCAAAACCAGTCTTCAAGGCCTTCACCACCTTGCAAGCTGTCAAAATCCTCGTCATTTTGAAGATGTTGGTTTGTGACTAAAATCAAATTCAATTACATATACTTTATGATATTTTTGATATAATTTTTTTTAATTAATGTGAAAGAAAGCTGGGGAGAGGGGAGTGCAGTCAGGTGTTTGAGGCTGACTGCACCATGGGCTTTGAATTTCCATTCATTCTGTCATTAAATGTCTTCAGCACAGCCCCTCCTTCTCATAGCCCCTCCTCCTGAGGTAATGTCCAGAGGTGTTCCATGGACATGTAATACATATTGCAACACATCAAACACTACCGTCTCCTGCTGAAATAATGTAGAAACACCAGTCATCCATCAAAGGAATTGCTTATGCAGCTGAATAGAATGACCTAGACATAGTGGACAACCTCAGGAATTTCACTTACCCTAAAGAGTAGCAACTTTCTAATAATGTTAAGGATCAAAGGCTTTTACTTGTATTAGATGTAATGCCTAATCTGCCTCGAAAGAGATTTGGATTCCCAAAGGAACCAGAAGACTTGCCATTTTCCGCTTGGGAAAAGACGAGTGGAAATCACATATAGTAAAAAGGACATCAGAATTAACTTTCCTCCACAAATATGGAGTAAACCGATCTATATTGTTTTTGTTTTGGTTTTTTTTTGTTTTGAGTTAATAAAATAGCATATTACATCCTTTCTATTTCACTGTCCTGTGTTCCAAATTTTAAAGCAATCAGTAACATGACGTAAAACAACTGGAGCATGTAGGAAACAACAGCAAACACTGATTTTAATATAACTACTATCCCTAAGTCAATAATTTTTAAGTTATTAAAATGTTATATGAAAAAGTCTCAAAACTCCAGGGTTTGTGTTTTAATCTCAGTTGAAATTGATCACTTGAGCCCTTCAGTCCCGTAGTTAATAAGGCAAAGGGTCTCATTGGCTGGTGGAAGCTCTCCCTTAAGTCATGTGTCTATGCAAACCAGGAAATGCTGCAGCATTTTTCTTTGCTTTCCTTGCAAAGGAGGCCAAGAAACAAAGGCTCCCTCCCAGGGCCTCCCAAAACAGAAAAGATGGTGTAGAATGACATAGAGATTCTAAGCTTCATTGATAGGATAAGTGCTAGAATTGCGGGGTAGGGGGTGAGAATGGTTAAAAAAAAAACAAAAAAAAACAAGAAGAACAAAGTTAAAGTTCAAACTTCTGTCTTACTTGCTGTATTCATGTATAAACATTCTCTCAGGCCAAACTGCTACACGGTTCCTGGTGGTAGAAAACTGAAAGAAATAGTCTAACCTAGTGTGTATACCTGATTAATAAAATAAATAATGTTATGGTAGTGTGTCCAAACACAATGGAAAAAATAAATACTCAACTCCCTTGTGCATGTGCAATAAAACTTAAGTATGGGATTGGGTTGAACCATGTTATCTTGAAGGATGCATAAGAATATACCATGTAGATAGAGATGAGAAAAACAGAAGGGATGGCATGAGCAACAGCACAGACACATATTAAAAACAAAAAACCTGAAATAGTCCAATAAAGCCTAGGTGTAGAAGTGAGATGTGAACAGGAATCATAATATGAAAGACTTTGTGCTCCTTAAAATTGTTGGCCTTAAGCCACAAAGTATTTATGGCAGTCATGGAAGTGTTTTGAACAAAGGCGAAATTTGTGTGAAGGAAAGATCATGAAAAAACGAATCGGAGGAGTATGAGACTATCAGAAGAAAACCTCCCAACTTAGACAATTAAGGACTTAGGAACCAGTACTGACTGGCTTAGTACAATTCTAGGTTAAGACTTGGTCTCAACCCTTGTCTATATTTATTCATAAAATAGTGAGGCTTGTCTTTCCCTAATTAGAAAAATGGCATATACATACTATGCAAAAATTTTCATATGCAAAATAAATTTAAATCAGTCATAATCCCATTCCCTAGAGGTACCAATGCAGTGAACATTGTAGCATATTTAATCCCTTTATTCCCTATGCTTTAATTAAATAGGACAGTTGGGGTACTAAGGAGTTCAGAGCTTGAACAAGGAAAATACATTAGTAGATAGTTTCATAGCCATTTATAACAATTGACTGGTAAACATGATGAATTAAACATGGTTTTCCAGGGCCGGCTGAGTGGCGCGTTGGTTAAGAGCTGGCTTGGGACGCCAGAGGACGCCGGTTGGCATCCCACATATGAAGGCCAGTGACACTGCCCTCTACAGCTAAGATGCTGAACAACAGCTCAACCTGGAGCTGGGCTGCCGTGAGTCGCCGGCGACAGCGTAGGCTGCAGCCCCTGCTGCAGTGGGTTGCCATGGGCTACCGTGTGTAGCCAGCAGCCAGCGTGAGCAGCCAGCAGCTGCAGTGAGCGGCCGTCCAGAAGCCAGCGACTGATCTGCCTCGCCCGGGAAGAGCGCAATGATGGTGCCAACTTGGGCCAGTGAAGCGGCGTCCTCCACAACTAGACTGAAGAACAAAACTTGTCTGTTCCCCTTCCCCCAATTCCCCAGCACTGTTCCCATCCCCCAATTCCCCAATTAAAATCTTTAAAAAAAAGACCAAAAAAAACCAAAACATGGTTTTCCAGAGAGATGCCAGCCACTTTAGTATATAATTCCATGAGTCTAGAACCTAAACAAAAATGTAGGCCTGAGAGTTGTAGTGGGCTTTCATTGTTGTCAGGAAAATATCCTGGATATAGGCGATGGTCCATATTTCTAGTCTCTAGAACGAAAGGGGGAAGGACAGAAGATTTGGAAAATTCAGTTGAATATTTTGAATTAGAGACAGAAAATTCAGCCGTCATGATTCTATAAATCATCTTGGGGACTGGACAGGCCAATAAATAAAATGGTGAATAATTTCAAATTTGAATGTTCAACATAAACTGAAATCTACAACCAAATTGGAAAAAAAAATTATTGCATTAATGAGGGAGTTTACATTAGGATAGACCAAAGTGGGGGGGGGCAGGGTGTGATAAGAGTTGAGAGGCAGGAAACATTAAAGTCAGACATAAAAAATTTCATGAAAATATTTCACTTTTATGAAAGACATTTTTAAAAATGACTTTAAAAGAAAGGATTTTTCAGGTTGGGGTGATTATTTTTTTCTCTGATCACATTTACATGGCCGTCCCCTCACATAAGCTGCACATGACTACCCAGGGTGACAGGTATGCATCCACATACACACAAGGGGTTGGGGGAATCTGTATTTGAAATGTATTTTATATGAGTCAGGTCATCAAGGGTTGTCTAATCCTAAAAGTCACTCACTCATAAAAACAGAATATTGTATATGAATTCAGCCCTTGCTTACTTGAGCACAGAAAATGGTAGTTTCCATCTAAATTGTAAATTACTAGTAAAGTCAAACACTTTCTTCCACATGCTTTTAATTAATACTATTTCTTCTTTTTTCTATATCTTTTTGTTCCCATGAATCTATTCATATTAACTGTCAGGAAAACCTCTTAAAATAAACAAAGCAACCTGACTGACAGCCAGTATTTGCACTCATTTCAAGTATCCTCTTCATATAGACAGTCCATTGGCATAAGCAAAGGGAAGCCTGCTACCGATTGGGAAAAATGAGACCAGCTTATCCTGGAGAATAAAGGCTTCAGGTTTGGGAATAAAGAGAAAATTATGGTGTTAGTCCTTCCTTTTTGAAAGGTACAGAAACTGCCAACTGCCCCCTTGAAATGTGTCTTACTAGGTAGTGAATAAGAGACAACTCTAAGAAAGTGATTCATCTATCGAAAAGTCTTTAATATAGCAAAAGGCAAGAGGTGTTTCTACAAAAATGATTGAAGGAATGAATGCATTCCTGTGTACTGAGTTCCTGCCTGATCGATGATGTTTATTTAAGCAGAAACAGATAAAACTATGTCAGAGGAACGTAAGAGCAAATAATGATGTTTAGGAATAAGAAAAGAAAACAGTCAATTAAGAATTCTATGAAAGGCTATTTTGAAGAGATAAATTTAAAGCAAGAAGCAAAGAATGTCTGGAGAGCAAATAAATTCAGAGTAAAAGAAGATGAAGCTAACCTCCAAAGAAGAAAGTTCTATTTTGTGCTTGAGCAGAGATGCATGAAAATAGAATGTAAAAGGCAAAAGTGATTATTATGGTTAAATTCTGATTTTTATTAGCCTAATAAACCGAGGAACACTATCACAACTGAGGATATGGACAAACAAAGGCTACTCTTTGAAGGAAAGAGGTGTAATTTTGTACCTACACGAAAGACATATACTTTCTCCCATCATAGAACCTAGGACAAACTGGTAGAAGGATTCCTTAAATGAAGTTTGGCCACAGAGAAGATTTATTAATAATAACAATAAGAAGATAGGTTGTTAGATGGTGGAGTTTTTAAATAACCAGAAGTCTTTGGAAACCCAACCAAGTAAGACACATTCATTAAGATCCAATTGGCACTTTGAGGGGCAGGAAGTGAGGAAACTATTTTCATGAATGTCCTTGTCAATCTAACATTTGATAACATCATAAAAGTTGAAGTGATACAAAGGAAGGTTAAAAATGAAGCTGGAGGAGAGACTTCATAAAAATGATTTTACACATTAAAATCCAAGGCATCTATGATTTGTATCCTAAAATAATTTTTAAAAGCTATCATGAATAAGACCCCATTTCCAAACACCTTATAGAGAACAGGTTATCTGGTACAAGTCAGCATGTATTTATAAAAACATAAATCTTTTTAACTAATTCTGCCTTAAGAAAGAGACATTACTGGACTAAGTAGAAATGTTAGATGTGATCTACCTTAATTCCAGAGCACTGAGTATATATTCTAGACCATTACAGGTGCGGACACATTTGCTGGAGAATGTGCATAAATGTAAGAGGACACAGTGAATTAGCCAGTGAGTAAACCGAACTTGTTACGTATTTGTAGGATGAGAACAAGGTGGACAATGACTTGGAAAGTTGATTCGGAATTCACAGTGACGTTGGCAAACTGAAGACATACTCAAACACAAACAGAGTAAAGTGCAAGCAAACTGAGGCAAGCGTAAGCTAGTCCAAAAAGAGGAAGAAAAATAAGCCTCAAATATAAGTTGTGGAGGTCCAATTATATGGAAATAAGCCAAAACTCATATGGAGCTATCCTAACATGTAACAAGCTGCCCAAAGTTACTCATAGGAAGTTA